GAACTGGGTATGCCAGGCGTCTGTCAGGCGGCCGAAGCAGCGCTGGGTGGCGTGTAGGCCGCCACACTGCTCTCCAGTGCGGTCGCTGGTGCGCAGGATGTAGGCACAGGGATCAGCACCCCCAGACCCCTGGCGCCCTGCGTACCACTCACGAAGCTGCTTGGGCGACGGAGTCTCACAAGAGCGTGGCTGGTGCTGGGGTCCCCGCTGCACAGCTCCGCCTCGACCAGCTCCACCTCCGCCGCTGACGCCTCCGCCGCCTCCACCCCAACCGCCACCGCCACCGCCGCCTCCACCTCCACCGCTGCCACCGAAGCCCCCACCTCTGCCACCACCCCCACCCCCACCCTCTCCTCCGCCTCCACCGCCACTACCGCCTCCCCCGCCACCTCCTCCAGCGCCCTGCCCCCCTTGCCCTTGCCGTTGCGGCGCCTCCCGCTAGGAGCAGACGCAGCGCTGACCGACTCGGTGCCAACAATGTCGACAGCAGCAGCAGAGGCAACGGAGGGCAAAAGGGGAACGGGGGAGCACCCCTCAAAGAAAGGGGTACGAGGGTCACCACGAGAGGCTCCTACAGCAGTAATACTAGTCTCTGCTGCAAGGAGGCGCTCCTCGAGGAGGTCAACGGTGAGTGTGGTGGGGCAAAGAGAGAGGAAGTGGTCCCTGACCGAGCGAAGGGTGTCAGGGAGTCGGGTGACTAGGTAGTAGAGGGTGATGTACATGGGGGGGGGGGTTCTTGGCGCAGAACTCAGTAGGAAGCGCAGCGCGGTAGCGGGTGTCACTAGTGCGGAGGTGCGTAATGAGGTCAGCGACCGTGGCAAAAGTGGCGAGGTCAGGGAACAGGTACGGTAGCATGAGGCGGCTAAGGGCAGCAGTGGCAGGGGAAGAGTAGCGTGCAACTACAGCGTCGTACTGAGTCTTAGCACTCTTGTACTGACTAAAGTGCGCGCGCTCAGTAGACGGCAGGTGGTTGCGCACAGCAAGGCGGGCAGCAGCATCGCGTGTGGTCCACTGCGAGCGAACAGTACTGTCAGCATCAGCAGCAGGGGCAGTAGAGGCGCCAGATGTGAGATCAAACAGTGAGAGACCATCCTTGCTATCGCACTGTAGGAAAAGCTGCAGATCATCTATCCAGACCTCAAAGTCGACCGCTCGACCCTCAGCATCGAAGGTAAGAACAGTGGGACTAGCCATGACAGTAGCAGCAGTAGGCTAGCAGCAGCAGTAGCAGTGCGACTCGGCTAAGCGGCGCGGCTAGGCAGGGCAGCGCGGCTCGGCAGTGCTCTTACCAGGGGCGGTTGGGTAGGCGGCCGCGACTGGTGGGGCAGGGCCCTTGTGCTCCGGCAGGGTCAGGGCCACAACTCAGCGGCTGCAGGTGGGAGGCCGCGACGGGGCCACGACTGGCGACGGGGCAGGGCCGGGGCGGGGCCGCGACTGGCGACGGGGCAGGGCCGGGGCGGGGCCGCGACGGGGCCGCAACGGGGCTGCGACGGGGCGGCAACAGGCGACGGGGCAGGGCCAGGGCGGGGCCGCGACGGGACCGCGACGGGCGACGGGGCAGGTCCGGGGCGAGGCCTGGGCGAGGCCGCGACGGGGCCGCGACAGGCGACGAGGCAGGGCTGCGATGGGGCCGCGACGGGGCCGCGATAGGCGACGGGACAGGGCCGGGGCGGGGCTGTGACGGGGTCGCGACGGGGCCGCGACAGGGCCGCGATAGGCGACGTGGCAGGGTCGCGACGGAGCCGCTACGGGGCCGCTACGGGGCCACGATGGGGCCGCGAAGGGGCCGCTAAGGGGGGCCGCGAAGGGGCCGTTAAGGGGGGCCGCTAAGGGGCCGCGAGGGGGCCGCGTAGGGGCCGGGTAGGGGCCGCAAAGGGCAGGGCAGGCTGCTAAGGGGCCGCGAAAGGGTGGGGCAGGGCAGAGCGCGAAGCGCGCTTCGGGCAGGTTAGGAAAAAAATAAATAACGTTGGGCCCTTAGGAAGGAACGTTCCCACTAGGGAACCCGCTCTATACCATGTGAAAATACAGGAATGAATGATGACTAGGAAATGAGTTGGGTACAAATATGAAACCCTAGGAAATGGTACCCCATAGTGTCTACCCCACTACAGCCTAGACAGGCTATGTGATTAATATTTGACACCTTTTCCTTGTTCGCGAGTGTACATGATGTTGCCGTATACTTTCTCGAGTGGTGCGTAGGCTGGCGCGCTTGGATTGTGGTGAGAGACAAATGGTTGATGAGGTAAGTTAGCTACGGGGCACGTAAAGCATGTGCCTCAAACTCGTTGGAGTTCTCTACCGTCGGGTAGAAGTAGTGAGTCTTTGTTGAGTACAGCTGCCTTGATTGTGTTGTTTAATGTGGTGTTGCTTGGATGACCTAATCGTTCGTGCCATAGTGATTCGCTTGCATGATGTCCGGGTGAGCGCCTGTACAGGTCGGAGTTGGAGTAAAATCCCGCGGTGAAATTGGCGCTTCTGTGAACTTCGCGAGGAGTGGGAGCTAACTGCTGCGCAGAAGTAAGTGGAGTGTCGATGAGAACTGGTGTCGTTGAAGAGCCCGCGATTGGTGCCGTAAGTGTTGCTGCTGCTGTCGATGTTGTCTCCGCTGCTGTTGATGTTGTTGCTGCTGCTGTCGATGATGTCTCTTCTTGCCAGATTGTTGCTAATGCCCGTGTTCTTTCTGCTTCAGGTATGGTATGTGAATACCAAAATCCTCCAAGACTGAAGTCGGGATCGAGGTCGGGTGGATGTCTCCAAGAAGCGAAGTTGACGATGGCGTCGCTGTCGGCGGTACCTTGGTCCGAAACGAAGTCAAGAACGAAGACGTTGTTCTTCAAGACTGCCTTGCCGATGTAGAGTCCGCCTTTTCCGTGGAATAACTTGAACTCCTGAGTGGTGCTGTCTGCTTCAAGGTGAATGCCCTTCGCCATCAGTTGACTGACGCTTAGTAAGTTGTAGCCGAGTCCTTCTGCAATTAGAACTTTAGACATTTGTAAAATAACGTTAGTTTCTCGAGACTGAAGTTGTACAATCCCTTGTCATCGTGTGTGCAGGTTCTGGTTGTTAGGCGACGGTGATTACAACTTCGCGCTGAAGTTGATGTTCCTGTTGAACGAAGCGACCCGAGGAACACATGTGCTGTCCGCAGCAACTGTCTAAGAACCAAGTGTCTTTCCCGGACGGCTCGCTCTGGGCGATGGCTGCATACGTCGGGTTGGGCTCCAGTGATTCGCGGCGAGGAGTCCTCTCATCGAGCTGTTCTTCTGGTAAGTAGTGGGGTGGTGATCCAGTGGTGCAGGAATCTGTCGTTCTTGTCATGCAGCTCACGATGTTTCGTGTTCCTTGTGCAGGTTTTGTCGTTTAAGGTGTTGAAGACTGCACTTGATTGGTAGGATGCGACTGCGTAGAAGCTACTTGACTGCTTGAAGGCCGAAGTTGACGTTGCGTCGTTGTCGACTGCTGCTGATCCGGGCAGTGTATGCGCGGATGTCCGGACGTCTTGCAAAGATGACAGAACGGTGGGACGTACTGTTGTACTTGTCGGTTGTTTTGACGGTTGTTGTTGTTGTAGCGTCGTTGAGTGTGAAAAGCGAATTCTGGTGCTGACGCTTTCTTCTTGTGTCGTTCTTCGTGCAGGTCCATATCCTGCTGTTCAGCGTGAATTTTGGCGCAGAGTGCTGCTTCGGAGATTTTCCCATGAGCTCGAAGGAGTGCTCAAGTGGAGCGTCAATGAGGACCGAGGCCGGCGATGATGACTGTTACGAAGGCTTCTTTGGATATTGCTCCTCCGCATCGAAGGAGTCTGTCGCGCAGTCCGCGACAACGGCTGATATACGCCATTCCCTTTTCGCCGGGTTTCATTTCCACTGTTGTCAGCTGTGCCATGAGGCGACTTTGATTAACACTGTCTATTGCTTGATACAGGTCCTTCAGGTGGTCGTATGCCAGCTCGGCGGAGTTGCCATGTCCTCGATAAGACCGGATGTTCTGCTGCTCGTTTGGAGATAAGTTTCGCAGTAGTATCATATATGCCATCAGCGACTGAGGGTGCATTCCTGGTTCGTGGCAGGGCCACTGTAGATGGCAGCCATGTTTAGCGCCTGCCACGTACTCATACCACACCAGGTTGATGGCAGAATACACCCGCCATCCAGATGCACGCTGATTGGCAGTGCGAAAATTTTGGCACAGTGGCCCTACTCCCAACACCACATCGCCCGCCACGAAATACGATTTGTACACCGCCACCTGGGTCGCACGTACAAGAGCGAGGGTTGACTTGGCCGGTAAAATTCCCGGCGCCAAACCATCCCCTTCATCGACCTGATGCAGATGAAACGTAAAATATAGTAGTACTCTCGCGTCACACTACTCCATCTCCACCCGTTCAACACGCAAGCATAGACCCATAGCGATCTCACACCATGCCACCAAAGAAACAGAAACCGAGCAGAAAGGGGAAGGAAAAGGCCGATGATGACAAGCCCTGGGAGGATCCACCATACGTTCAGTGGATGAAAGAAGAGCAAGAGCGTGGTAGAAACCGAGGGAAAATCAAGCACGAACACGCTCCTCGGCGCGACGGTCCTGGACCAGGTTCAGCGCGGGCTGACGGCGCTGACAGCTCGGACGGAGGGGACACTGACATCTCGTCTGACGAGCTGGAAGAGATTGTGTCATCCAGCGGCAGCAATAGCGACAGCGATAACTCAAAAGCCGCTTCTGGAAGCGACGAAGACGAGTCGGCGTCGGAGCCGGATGCCTCGGAGGCCGGACCTAGTAATGGCAAGAGGAAGCGCAGCTCCAAGACTAAGCGCCAGTGGACCGACGAAGAGCTAACGGCATTGGCCGCGGCGAAATGATACACGCGGGAAGATCTGAAGCAGATGCGGGGTAAGCAGGGCAACCAGTATTGGAAGAAGTTGCGCGTGCACATGAAAAAGAGCGGCACCAAGTGGACGCGCAATAGCACTGCCATGCAACACGCTTGGAAACGCATGGAGGCGGAGTACCGTGACACGCTGCGCAACAACGGGACAAGCGGGCGGAAACCGAAGAGAAAGAAGCCCTGGTTTGAGTACGTATACCTGCTCAAACGCATCCCTGCAAATGTCAAACCTCACGTGGTCGAAGGCGGAGGAGCTGGTGAAACCCACGTCGACCCGCAAGCCCCGCTTCAGCTTGACGCCGATATGCCCGAGGGAGGTACCACAACCCCTGTGACCCGTGGTCTGCAACGTGCACCTCGTCGCGCGGTCGCCATTGATGGTAACAGCTGGTCATCAGGCCCCATTGGTAATATACGAGAGTGTGTCTGAAAGATCTTACAAGGCACACGCGGTATGTTCATTTGATTCAAAGCATCCCTTGTGGTATGTGCAAATGTTTGTTAGTGGTATATGTCCATCCCATGTGGAGGTGTTGTGTTTCCGCCTTAGGGCGATAGTCGCAGAGGTGTATATTTCGCACAGTACGGGCATGTCAATGCAGCAACAAGATACATACAACCTTCACTTCCAACAAGTGTCTACCTCCCGCCCCCCCCCCCCCCCCTTCCCAGCCACGCCCAGCCCCGTTCTGGCAAGGCGTTCACGCGTGAACGAGACGACGACCATGGCGGCCGCCAAGGTGATTTCCGACACGCTGAATGCGTGCAACGGGCAAGCCATGGGGCAGCTGAGCGACGCCGTGCAGCTGCTCATCGCCGCGATACACATGGCGGCGGCGATGTGGCGACCCCCTCCAGCACCGCCTCTACCGGCGACGGTACCTGCACCTGCACAACCACCTGCCATTGCCAACGACGCGGACAACTTGGTGAATGCGGCATTGGTTGAGAGGGAGCTGGCAGATGCGCCCGAAGAAGATGAGGGGGCGTCGCCGGATGACATGCATTCTCGCTAGCCGTCGGCGCGGTCATTGCGCCAGGGGCGGTGCCTCCTGCGGTAAGCTCTATGCATGTGTTTGCCGAAATGCTTACGGCGCGCACGATAACTTGCCTGGGTTGCTGAAGCAGCCGGCTGCCACCTGTACGCAAGCATGCCGCTCCGGTGGTACCACGGCGGGCCGATGCCCGTCCACTCCCTCCAGTTGTTTAAGTCTTCTGTCCCCCTCCGTGGCTGGTCATGGTGCAGGATCATGTTGTGCAATATTATAATGCAGGCGGTTCCGGCGCGGACGCGGGTGAGCTTGCATTCGTGGCGCTTGCTGAAGAGCCGCCACCTCTGTTTGAGTGCGCCGAATGTCCGCTCCACCACCATGCGGGTTGCGGAGTGGACGTAGTTGTACGTCTGCTCCCAGCTTTTCATGAGGCGTCTGCGTGAGGCGTTGACGGGTGTGAGGCAGTAGTCGCGGAGTGGGTATGCTGCATCACCCACAATCTGGAACGGCGCAATGTCCCCTCGCTCGAGTCGTGTGTGCAGGTCAGACTGCTGGAAGACGCCCTAGTCGTGCATGGAGCCAGGATGCCCGACAATATAGTCCTAGATGTAGCCTTTGCTGTTGTAATACTCCTGCCGGTGATTCTCCAATCCCTTGATCTCAATGTGGGTTCCGTCAATAGCGCCTATGACGTTTGGCAGCCCCCTAACAACTTTAAAGTCCGCAGCCATGTCCTCCATCTCGTCATGTGTTGGGAAGCGCACCCACGTTCGTTTGAACCGCCGAGGGAAATGCAAGAGGAAAGCATCGACAATCTTGTGCAAAATGGTCTTAGGAGTGCCGAAATAGATTGCCATGTCTATGTACGGCATTGCAGAGGCGAAATACTTGATCGGAATCAAGCAGCACATCTCCACCGGGATGCCGTAACGATCCACGAAATGGCTCATAGGGTGAGCCATCGCGGGAGTGATCCCCGCCAACACCTCTCGCGATATGCGGAACATGTTGATGAAGTCGTCGTCCTCCATCACCTGCAGGTCGTCCATCCATTCCGAGATACGGCGGGCACGGCGCGCTTTACGTGCACGCTGGAGGCGCTCCCGCTTTGCGCGAAGCTCGGAGTCGGAGTCTGCAGCGACGCCCTGCCACCAACAGTAGCATGAACAGTGGCCCTGCCACGAACCAGGAATGCACCCTGATATGTGTACTGCTGCTTGTCGTACTGTGTCCCATGTGCTGGTTATGGCAGGGACCCGTCGAAGAATCAGAGAATTTGCGCGCCCTCCATCATTAGCTCAAACTCGAATGACCAGGTATAGAAGTCCTTTCCGTCGAAGAGCGTTGACGTTTGCAGTTTTAACACATGTGCGAATTGTGATTGAACTTGAAGTGCGTCCAATGTCTTCTCTTGTCCAGGTAAAGACTGTGGTTGTGGCGCGAAGCTGATGGAGCCACGTTGAGGCTCGTACGGAGCAAAGGTGGGTTGCTGCTGATTTCCGCGTGCATAGGATGAGCCGTCAAGGCTCATTGGTGTTGCTCTGTTGTTGTTGTCACTGTTGTTTGATTGCGCAGGAGCTGCTTGCTGGTGTTGCTCGTAGAAGGACATGAAGGAGAAGAATTTCTCCATCATGTTTGGGTCGAAGCTTGCTGCTTGGTTCCCGGGAGTTTCGGTCGACTCCGCAGCTGGTCTTGTTGCTGTGCCTTCCTCTGTCTGTAGGCCAGAGGCTGGAGGTGGAGTAGGAGTAGTGCCGAGAGATCCGTTAGAGGAGCTCCTCTCCTTCTGTGTTGCCATGTCTTGCGTTGTTGTAGGATTTTGAGAAATCGATCTTGCCCTGTTAGCTCTGATACCATGTTGAGATGAGAAAGCCCTTAGGATCTTTCAAGGCAAAGATCGGGGTTGATGTAGGAATGTTGTAGTTGCGGAAGCGTTTAATATCAGAGTTGCTGAACCACCTTGTAATAGTGTGTGAGAACAAGATAAGTTGATAAGGCTTTTATATGATTACAAAGGAATATGAAAAGTTCTACTTTAACTGTTTTTGCTGTTGCGGTTCGATACAGTGCCGACTCAGGTAACTGCTCAGTATCGAGTCAGTTATGTGTCCTTGCTGTCGCACTGTATTTTTCGTCGAGTCAAAGGTCAGCGACCTTTGACCTTCGTGTAACCTCCAGCGGTTGCTTTTGTTGACTCGTGTTGCTTCACTGTAGTCTGCTTCGTTTCGTGTCGATACTTCAATACTTCAGAAGTGTTTAAGTTACTTGTTTCCAACAAGTGCAATAGTATACCAAACAGCCTCTCCTCCCCGGGGCTGACGTTTCAAAAAAACCTTGTCTGAGGTTGCTTAGGAAAAAAATTTGTCTAGTCTGAAGCACATTTTCCCCAACCTTGGTGAGTCTGATTTCACAGGATTCGTAAGTCGTTAGTTACAGCCTGGCCTTCTCACGCCATTTGGCGAGTGCCTCGGACCAGTCGATCTCGTAGTCAAGCAGGGAAATCGCCATCAGCTCCGCCAGGCGCACGTTGCCCAGCGAGCCTCTCACCCAGGACTTGATGACGTTCTGGCGTGAGAATCCACGCTCGCACTCAACGGTTGACAGTGGCATCATGGACGTTTCTTGCCACATCCGCGTGATGTTGGGCCAGCGCCTGGAAACCCGACCCACAAGTACAAACATACACATTAGCGGAATGGTAAAACTGCGTGTGAAAGCACGGCTAAGCAAGCACTACACATCCAGTCACGTACCTGGTGGACTCAGCCAAGCCCATGAAGTTTTTCAGCCCTTGAAAATACCCCTCGTCCTCATGGTGCGCCTCCATGATAGGAGCCCATGAGGCAAGCTCCTTCTCGGCTGCTCGCAAGTCGAATTCAGGCAGCTTGTTGTCGAAGATAGCCACGCATCCGTGCAGGTACTCCCGGGTCTTGCGCTCGCGCTGCTGCCGCGGCTTGGGCCACTCTGCTGCGCGGAAGAGCTTCGTTGGTGGCAATCTTCGTAGATCTGAAAGGCGGTAGTTCAGCTGGTTGACACACTCTTGTGCGAACTTCATGCACAACTTCTCACACTCCCTGTATGTACTGCCGTAAACGTGCCCGTCAATCTTCCTCTCGTGTAGTTTGTACACGAGCGTCAATGGCTGACCTTCGCTGTCGACTCCGCGCACCCTCACCCTCTTTGTCGCACCCCTCCCGTGTAATGTCAGGAACTCCGACAGTGCCGGGCTTTCTCCGCCTCCCATCAAGTCCTCGCACTCCAGGTAGCGCCGCCGCAGGTCCCATTGTGGCCTCGTCAATGTCCTTGGCGATCTCGGTCACGTCGACCTGGAAGGGATGACATGGTGTGCAACACAAGTTCGTGACGGTTAAGTCTAAACACGGTACGTCGCGGCCCTGCCGCGGCCCCTGACGCGGCCCTGACGCGGCTTGCCGCGGCCCCTGCCGCGGCCCTGAAGCGGCCCCTGACGCGGCCCTGACGCGGCTCTGCCGTGGCCCTGACGCGGCCCTGACGCGGCCCTGCCGCGGCCCCTGGCGGCGCCCTGACGCGGCCCCTGACGCGGCGCCCTGACGCGGCCCCTGCCGCAGCCCTGACGCGGCCCTGCCGCGGCCCCTGACGCGGCCCTGACGCGGCCTGCTGCGGCCCCTGCTGCGGCCCTGAAGCGGCCCCTGACGCGGCCCTGACGCGGCTCTGCCGCGGCCCTGACGCGGCCCTGACGCGGCCCCTGACGCGGCCCCTGCCGCGGCCCCTTACGCGGCTCTGACGCGGCCTTGCCGCGGCCCCTGGCGGCGCCCTGACGCGGCCCCTGACGCGGCGCCCTGACGCGGCCCTGCCGCGGCCCCTGACGCGGCCCCTGACGCGGCCCCTGACGCGGCCCCTGACGCGGCCCCTGTCACGGCCCCACCACCTACCTTTCCGGCCACGCCGCCTCCTCTCAGCGGCCCCGCCGCCTCCTCCCAGCGGCCCCGGACGCCGCCCTCTCAGCGGCCCCGCCGAGCCGCCCAGCAGCCTAGCCGCCCAGCAGCCGAGCCGCCGAGCCGCCCAGCAGCCGAGCCGCCCAGCAGCAGAGCCGCCGAGCCGCCCAGCAGCCGAGCCGCTGAGCCGCCCAGCCGCCGAGCCGCCCAGCAGCCGAGCCGCCCAGCAGCCGAGTCGCCGAGCCGCCCTGCAGCCGAGCCGCCCGAGCCGCCCTGTCCGGTAAGAGCAGCGCCTCTCTCACAGCACTGCCCTCACCCCACTGTTTGCGCTGCTAGTCTACTGCTGTCATGGCTACCCCTAGTGTCCTCGCTTTTGACGCTGAGGGTCGGGCCATTGACTTTGACGTCTGGATAGATGACCTGCAGCTTTTCTTACAGTGCGATAGGGCAGACGGCCTCTCCCTCTTTGACCTCACTTCTGGTGCCTCTCCTGCCCCCGCCACTGATGCTGACGCAACTGTTCGCTCCCAGTGGGCCACGCGCGATGCTGCTGCACGTCTTGCTGTGCGTCGCCACCTGCCTACCTCTGAGCGTGCGCACTTTAGCCAGTACAAGAGTGCTCAGACCTTGTACGACGCTGTAGTTGCACGCTACTCCTCCCCTGCCACTGCTGCACTGAGTCGCCTCATGCTACCGTACCTCTTCCCTGACCTTGCTGCCTTTCCCACAGTCGCTGACCTCATTACGCACCTACGCACTAGTGACACTCGCTACCGCGCTGCGCTTCCTGCTGAGTTCTGCGCCAAGAACCCCCCCCCCATGTACATCACCCTCTACTACATAGTCACCCGGCTCCCTGACTCCCTTCGCGTAGTCAGGGACCACTTCCTCTCTGTTTGCCCCACCACTCTCACCGTTGACCTCCTCGAGAAGTCCCTCCTAGCAGCAGAGAAGAGCATAGTAGCTGTAGGAGCCTCTCGTGGTGACCCTCGCACCCCCATCTTTGAGGGGTGTTCCCCCTCCCCCCTTTTGCCCTCTGTTGCCTCTGCTGCTGCGGCCGACCTCGTTGGGCTTGAGTCGGTCGGTGCGGCGTCTACCCCTAGCGGGAGACGC